TCATTAATAAATGAGACAAAGTATTTTGCTCCGCCTAGGGATGTAACTGGTGCTTGCCATATGTCAGATTGAACCAATTCTAGAACACTTTTGCCTCTAGAATTTGATGTGTTGAATTTCAACCGGTGCTGCTTACTTGTTATGCAATGCTCACACAAAGGAAATGATACCTTTGTTAAGCCTGGAAGTAGCTTTTGCTCCACAAGGACTTTCATTCCTTGTTCTGACATGTGTCCAAGTTTCTGATGCCATAGCATTTTCGAATCTGAACTACATGAGGCAACAAAGGCTTATGCTTCTACCAAAGTCTCTCCCTTCAGCATGTACAAGTTTGCAGCTATCTTTTCACCTTTCAGCACCACAAGCGCTCCACGGAACACCTTCATGATTCCTTTCCGTGTTTTAATCTTGCTTGCATTATTATCCAACAATCCGTAGGATAATAAATTTTTCTTCAGGCCTTTCACGTGCCGCACATCTCGAACAACTTTAATTGTTCCATCATACATCTTTAATTTGATGATTCCCACGCCAATGATCTCTAAGGCATGATCATTGCAACTATACATAGATCCTCCTGAGACAGGTTCATAATGATGGAACCATTCTCTTCTTGAGGTCATGTGATATGTTGCTCCCGAATCAATGAGCCATATGTCTGCATATCTCTTTCTACCTTCCACGGTGGTTGACGCTTCACAACATATATCATCTCCATCATCTGAAGTGTTTGCAGTATTGCCTTGTGGATTAGAGTTTTTATTTAGACTCAAACAATCATTCTTCAAGTGACCCTTTTTTCCACAATTGTAGCACTTTAAATTCTTCTTGCTTCTTGACTTCGATCTACCATGTTTGTGACTGCTATTTTGGTCACGTTCTGTTGATCTCCCTCTCATCGTTGTCAATGATTCTGCTTGTTGTAGATTTACTTGTATGTCTTCCTTATTCTTGCGCCGATTTTCTTCTTGTAGAACAGCAGCTGCAACGTCATCGAAGACTAGACTGGTGACATTACTGTTTGTCAAGTTGATGATGAGTTGATCATACGAATCCATTAGACTTTGAAGTAGAAGTTCAGCACGTTCTTGTTCTCATATTTTACAGCTTAAGGATGTAAGCTGAGAAAATAAAGTATTCAGTGTATTTAAGTGCTCTGTCACTGAAGTAGATTCTGGCATACGGAGAGTGTACAATTTTCTCTTAAGAAAAATTTTATTGTGCAGCGATGTGGCCTCATATAATTTGGTGAGATGATCCCATATCTCCTTAGATGTCTTCTTCTCCTCGATGCTTGACAATACTTCATCTGCTAATGCTAGATAAAAGTTTGCCATAGCATTCCCGTCCATTTCGATCCATTTGTTGTCATCTGTGAAATCCACCGGCCTTTCACTGATAGCTGCTAGATAACCGTCTTTCCTCAGGATGACCTTCATCTTCAATTTCCACAATGAGAAATTTCTCCCATTGAATTTTTCAATATCAAATTTCGTTGCCATAGCTTCTTTTACGGATCCACCTTTTGGTGGCAACCACAAAGACAATAAGCAGATATTACACACTCAAATCTGGCTCGGATACCAATTGTTGCGGAAGACGGCTATCGGATAGAGCAAAATCGCAACTGATAATTTGAGAAAATAAAAATGAAGATAAAAAAGAGACAAAATTTACGTGGAAACCCCCTAAATAAAATAGGGTAAAAACCACGGGCAACGGTAGAAGAATTTCACTATGAGAAAATATGAATTACAACTTCTCTCGATCTACCAAGGAGAAAACAATGATAATTCTCTCTTGATAAAAAGGATAAAACAACTCTCAAGAAACTCTCTAAATTCTCTCTAGTATTGGAAGAAAGCTAGAATGCTTTGGGATGGTTTTGAAGCTAAATGAGCTAGGGTATTTATAGTTGAAGCTTAATGACTAATTCGTAAATAGCCTAAATTTTAGTGACTAGAGTTTGTAATTTGCCCATATAAAAAATCAACAATTTCTACACCTAATTTTCGGTGCCTACAATTATTGACAAAATTCAATATTTTTTTCTTCAAACCATGCACTTTCGGTGCATTGATTTTCAACACCTTCTTAATCCAGTAAGAGTTCGGTCAATGAGTACTGATGACCCGTCGAATTCGAGAGAATATATGCAGTTATCAAGGAAGGAGAGCGGGTACATGAATATATAAACAATGATGGTGACAATTTGAAAAAAGGTCAGGATGAAAATGAGACTAAATCCAGTTTTTCTCTGGAAGACAAAAGAGAAGGGGTTGAATATGGAAGTGAGAAAAGAGGTGGACAGCTGCAGAAACTTGAAAATTCGGGAGCAAATGCCAGAACCAAGGATTCTGAATATACGAGTAATGTTGGAATGGATAGGGAAAAGAATCATGCAGATGCGATTGATACTTGCCATGACGTGGATCTCGAACAAGAAAAGAGAAGCAGCTTCGAAAGGCAGCTTGGAAAAGGTAAAGATCCTCACCAAGAAAGCTGGGAGAAGGGGGAAACATATGCGATTCCAGAATTTCAAGATTACCAGGGAGTATCGGCCATTTGAGCAGATCAAAACTGAAAAAATGGAGAACTCTTGCTGGGAACAGGTCCCTAAAGAGGAAAGTAAATTCCGGAATAGATGCAGTTGAAAACATGACAAACAGAAGATTGTCAAAGGGATATAAAGATGACATAAGAAGCCGGAAAGATGGGACAGTTTCCGACGATGAAACTAAAATTGAACCAGGTCGGACGAGGGACATGGATAGTAGAAAAGGTAAATTACTTCAAGCATCAGAACTCTGATACCGACGATGTGAAACACAGAAAAATGAGCGGAGACAAACCATCAGGCTGAGGGAGAATATGTGGTGCAAACAAACCATGTCAAAGTTAAAGAGGCTGACAAGATCAAACAGAACATGAACATGGATGTCAAGGAACCGAAGAAAGCTGAACTCAATTCGGCCAATGGAAATGAAACGGAAGAAGATAATAGGGGTTGCATATGAACAAGAGCCAGAAACAGAAGCATTCAAGGGTGACGTTTCCGGCGGTTTTATGTCTGAACCCGATGGTGGAGAAGAGAATAAGGAGGAAACAGATGAACCTCAGTTTTAATCAACGTACAGTTTTTAAGTGCTGTGTCATTGTTGTGGATCCTTTTAAATAGCTGGTTTGCTCTTATATAGTAATTGTCATAACTTTACGCAGTAAAATTATGTTTGGAATTAGTGGAAGTATCAGTACATGGTTAATGCCTGTCATAAATTCAAATCTAATTTTCTGCCATATAAAAGGTGAAATCCAATAGAAAGTTCATTTCTTGCCATTATCAACAAGACTAACCAACAAATCAGGAAGTGTGTTCTCTGAAACTAGCCTCTAATTTTGCTCATTCATCATTCTCTTAGGGAAAAATGAAATGATGAACTTGTCATCAAAGCCACACATTATTACTGGGAATCTTGTAAACATGAAAAGCTCCAATCTCATTTCTTTGCCGTTTGCGCTGCATTCTGCAACAAGAAAAAATTAAAATGAGAGAAGCCATAACACATACATTACCATAATGTGCAATCTGAGGATTTTTAAGCTCTCTTATCATCTAGTTACGTGCTCAATGAAATAGGAATAGAGACCATCAAGTCTCACAAGTGGATGGCCAACGGAGGACTCTACTGCACTTGAGGTCCAAAACGTAAACATGAGCCTACGAACTTATACGTGATAAAATAGCAAGTAAAGAAATACCAATGTGTATGCTGTAATGTAACAGCAGACCAAACTCAACAAGATTTTAACTTGAAATAAATGAATGTAGCATTGACAATGGAGAGGACTAAAATTATAAATATAAATGAAAGTAAGAAGAAACAAAAACCGATTTCCAACTCAGAATATCTAAAATCTGGAAATAAGGGAAGAAATGATGAGAAAATTTGAAATATAAAACATGAAAATAAACAAGCTGACGTCTTCTTCCTCCCATTTAGCTGGGTTCATTGGTTCTTTCCAGCAATTAACTTTTGGGGGCTTATGGTGATCTACAAAAAAATAAAATAAAATCAAAATTAGAGGCATCAAGATGGTCCCATACTCTAAGATCCTTTATCTCAAACTATGATCAAATTCAAATGATTTCAAGTTGAAGTTAATCGGGAGACAAATTTTACAATTGAATAGAATGCAAATTTAAAATGAAAAAATCTAAAATGGCTATACAGAATATACCTGCAGAGCCCGCAAGACTTCGGCAAGGTATGAGAGAAACTTCAGAAGGAGCCGGTGTTAGAAATACAGACACTACTCTACGAGCTGCAACCGCTGTCAAAGTAGCCATCAAGATGGTTTCTTTCTTTTTTCTGTGTATTGGGGTTAATCACAGGAGAATCGGAGTGGGTTATGTATAACCTATACTACTATAATTAGGATTTAGGAACACACATAAATGTTAAATAATAAAATAAAGCTCATTTGAGTAGAAAATGAACATAAATTAGTTAAATAAAACAAGCGTTAGCCAAAAGCAATTATTGTTGGTAAAAAAAAAACAGAAAAAACATATATTCACCTTTCACCCAAAGCCAAGAGTAAAGCTCATCTTATTTTTGCATCTGCAGAGAATAGAAAAGCTTTAATTGGTAACATATACATATGTATTCAAAGTCAATGTAACCATAGCCCATAACAGTAGTTATGGTTTACATCCTCAAACCCCAATCTCTACAGCTGAAAAACAAATGTAAAGAAGAAGAAATGAATCAGTCTTCTTCCTCTGCAAAACTCAAGAGCTTGAAAAACAGATTCCTCTGTTTCTTGGTCCATACTAAAGTATGATTTCCTTCCCATCAATTCAGCCACTCTTTTGGCTGGCCCTGAATCCCGAGGACTTTGACCCCATACTCTCAGAGTCCTAATCTTTGGTAGCAGATCATTGACATATCGATCGAATTCGGCGAGTCTTCCTGCGATCCTCCCTTTGGAATGATCACTTAACTAGGAATTTCCCACTTGTTCTTCACTCCGCTCTCTCTATTGCGAGAACCAACCATCTGTTCATTCGAAAAACGCCTATTATTGCTTTGACTGGGAATCTGATTGTACCTGCTACTGACGACTCTCCCGGGTTTCAATGGTCTCTTAGCTGTTACCGGTTTCTCTGCATCTTTGAAGAGTCTTTTTGGTTGAATTGTGGAAAGAGCATCCTCTTCTTTCTTCATACTCCTCTTAGTTCCTACAGTTGTTGCTGCTGGCTTAGGAGCAATGACCTTGGAAACAGTTTCACGCGACTTAGGGCTAAGACTCAAGCTCTTGCCTCTCTCTCTTGTAACCTTGCCTTCATCAATATTGTTGATAAATCGGGCAAAGTAAACGAAAGAACACAAGAATTTTAAAGAGGTTCGGCAATGTGCTTACGTCCTCGGTGTCTAGGCGGCGCTAGAAAATTTTATTCAATTCTTCTATATTTAGGTTACATCTCTATTTATAATAGAAAACCCTGGTACATAATTACAAAATTAACCCTGTACCGTACCGCGGGGGCACAACCCCCGCACCCCCAACCCACATAATCGTAACCCCCTCTACGAGACTTTCTTTGTAAGGACAGTTGATGTTCGCTTCGCTCACTCCGCTCCATCCCCTGTCCTCTTTACCGGTATATTTATGAGCCATACCTTACAAATCTCTACCTTGGCGAATATCCTGCCCCTTAGGAAACATTCAATGTGGGTTGGGTTACCTTAGTTCTTTAACAACTTGAAACATTCAACAAGTCCAAGCAATGCTTGAACTTGTCTGTCGTAACTGGCTTGGTGAACATATCAGCAGCATTCTCATCAGTGTGTACCTTCTGAAACAAAATCTCTTCAGATGCAACCAACTCTCTGATCTTGTGAAAACGTACATCAATGTGCTTAGTTCTAGCACGATATACCTGATTCTTAGCTAAGTGAATAGCACTTTGATTGTCGCAAAGCAGCTGAACTCCACCTTGCTGAACACCCAACTCCTTCACTAAACCAGTGAGCCATAAAGCTTCTTTTGCAGCTTCAGCCGCTGCCATGTACTCAGCTTCAGTTATAGATAGTGCCACTACAGATTGAACAGTAGATTTCCAACAAATAGGTCCTCCACCAAGAGTAAAAACATACCCTGTCGTAGATCTTCTATTATCCAAGTCACCTGCATAGTCTGAATCCACATATCCTACAACCAAAGGATTATCTCGCTGACTACCAAAAACAATTCCATGTCCCACAGTACCCTTTAAGTATCGAAAGATCCACTTGACTGCTTCCCAATGTTGCTTACCATGTTTAGACATGTACTTACAAACTTGACTAACAATATGAGCTAAATCAGGACGAGTACATACCATTGCATACATCAAGCAGCCAACAACATTAGAATACGGAACCTTTTCCATATCTTCAGCTTCCTTATCTGTCTTAGGGCACTGTTCTGATGAGAGCTTAAAGTGGTTCGCCAATGGAGTGCTAACTGGTTTTGCGCTGCTCATGGCAAACCTTTCTAGCATTTTTTCAACATAACCCCGTTGAGATAGCCACAATCTCCTTAAGTCTCTGTCCCTGCAAATTTCCATTCCAAGAATTTCCTTTGCAGCACCTAAATCTTTCATATCAAATTCCTGACTCAATAAAGTTTTCAAACCGATAACATCATCCATGTTCTTCGCAACAATTAACATATCATCAACATACAGTAATAGAAAAATAAAAGAACCATCATCAAGGCTCTTAACATATACACAACAATCATACTCACATCGGTTGTAGCCAATCTTGATCATATAGGAGTCAAACCGTTTATACCACTGTCTCGGAGACTGTTTCAACCCGTACAAAGATTTCTTCAATCTGCAAACTAAATGCTCGTTTCCAGGTTGAGTGAAACCTTCAGGTTGCCGCATGTAGTTCTGCTCCTCTAAATCACCATGCAAAAAAGCAGTTTTAACATCCATCTGCTCTAAATGCAAATTCCAACTGGCCACCAATGCAAGTACTGCTCGGATTGAAGTATGCCTGACCACAGGAGAAAAGATTTCATCATAATCAACTCCTTTCTGCTGTGAAAAACCCTTTGCTACCAAACGAGCCTTGAACTTCTCCCCCTCTTTTTCTGTTACTGATAGTTTCTTCTTATACACCCATTTGCAACCAATCGGCTTTTTACCCTCAGGAAGGGAAACCAACTCTCATGTACGATTGTGATTCAAAGACTCCATCTCCTTAACCATGTCTGTCATCCACTTGTCGTTTTCCTGACTAGTAACAACATCATGAAAAGTAACCGGATCATCACTGCTAACAATAAGTGCAAAAGAGACCAAGTCTTCAAAACCCAATCTACTCGGAGGCTTTATATTCGTCCGTCTCACCCTGTCTCTGGTGAGACTATAATCCTGTAAATCAACCGTAGTGGAACCACCAGAAGTCGGTTGAGACGTTTCTGGTTTCTCAACTGGAAACTGCTCGAAATCCACCACTGTCATGTATTTCTTCTGTTGCAACATGGATTGTTCATCAAAAACAACATCTCTATTGATCACAATTTTCTTCGCAACTGGATCCCAGAACTTGAATCCTTTGAAACCTTTCTTGTAACCCAGAAAAATGCACTCTTTCGATTTTGCATCAAGTTTGGATCTCTCATCAGCAGGTACATGCACATAAGCAGGACAACCAAAAATCCGTAAGTTATCAAAACTAACATCATGACCAGTCCATACCTCTTCTGCAACTTTCCCAGCCAATGATGCCCTTGGCGATCTGTTGATAAGATAACACGCCATGTTAACAGCCTCGACCCAGAAGTGTTTGGGAAGCCCCGCATTCAACCGCAAACATCTGGCTCTTTCATTCAACGACCTGTTCATCCGTTCCGCAACATCATTCTATTGTGGTGTCTTGCGCACTGTAAAATGTCTCTTAATCCCGTGCTCCTTACAGAAGTGTAAGAACTGTGAATCTGTGTACTCCGTACCATTGTCAGACCGCAAACACTTGATTTTTCGTCCTGTTTGGTTTTCTACCTCAGATTTCTACAGCTTGAACTTCTAAAAAAATTTAGATTTCTGTTTCAAAAAATACACCCAAACTTTCCGTGAAAAATCATCAATAAAATTAACATAATACCTAGATCCACCCAAATACGATGTCGTGGAAGGCCCCCATACATCAGAATGCACATAATCAAGAATCCCTTGAGTTGTGTGCCTCGCAGTCTTGAAACGGACTTTAGTCTGTTTACCAAGAACACAATACTTGCAAAAATCGAACTTACAGCTTTTGACACCATGCAACTAGGGATGGCAACTCAACCCGAATCCGACGGGTTCCGACCCGACCCGATCGGGTCGGATTTTTTTAAAAAAATTTCGGGTTCGGGTCGGGTTTAGGGTGAAAAAAATCCGACCCGACCCGACCCGAAAAATATATATAATTTTATCCTATATATTTAGGGATAATTACAATAATGTCCCTCCATATATAATTTTTTTCAATTAAGTCACTGTTTTCATTGAATAAATTTTTTTTTTATTATTATTTCCGGTCGGGTCGGGTCGGGTCAGGTTTCTAAGTCATATATTCGGGTCGGGTCGGGTCAGGTCGGGTGAAAACTTAATTTCGTCGGGTCGGGTCGGGTCACGGGTGAAAAACCCTTTCTTCTCGGGTCGGGTGGCCCAAAAACCCGACCCGACCCGACCCATTGCCATCCCTACATGTAACAGATTTCTTTTGTGTAATTCTGTCATACCACGTTCACTAAGATGAGCAAGACGCATATGCCACAGTTTTGTAGTATTATCACATGACTCAACAGAATGAACTCCACCTGCAACGGTACTCCCTAACAATCTATAAATCTTTCCTGCAGTCATCTTTCCTTTCATCACAGTCAAAGCACCTTTAACAATCCGAATGGTTTCCCTATCCTCATCAGCCTTAAGGATAAAACCATTCTTGTGCAAAGTGCCCAAAGAAATCAAATTCTTCTTCAAATATGGGATATGTCGAACACCACTCAACGTCCGAACAGAGCCATCATACATCTTAATTCTGACATCACCAATACCAACAATATTGCAACATCGATCATCACCCAAATAAACAGAACCAGAATTAACCGACCTGTATGTCGAAAACCATTCCCTATTTGGCGTGATGTGATAAGAACATCCAGAATCACGAATCCACGCATCCGTCAATTGAGTCGTTGAAATATAAAGCATATCACCCTCACTGCAATCAGAATTGTCATCATCGACCACGTTCACAGACTTGGATGAAACATCACGCTTCTCATCAGTCTGCTTTTTCAACTTCGGACAGTCTCACTTCATATGTCCCGCCTCCTTGCACTTGTAGCAGTGAATTGTCTTCTTATCCCTAGATTTGGATCTGGAATTCCGCTTGCCAGACCTTGCCTTCTCTGGCTTCCGTCCACGGTCTCGATTACCCTTGACATATAAGCTATCGGCTTGAGAGTTTTCCCCTGCATTCTGCTTCTACTGGTTGTGAGCCAACAAGGCTGCAGTAATCTCCTCAACGTTGATAGTCTCTTTCCCATATGTAAGAGTAGTCACCATGTGTTCGTAAGAGGGAGGCAACGAACACAACAAAATAATCGCTCTGTCTTCATCCTCAATTTTTACATCAAGCCGAGCCAAATCAGAAACGATTTGATTGAAGACATTCACGTGTTGCGCCAAATCATGATCGTCATGCATCTTCAGCCCATATAGTCGCTGCTTTAGATACAGTTTTGTCGTTAAGGATTTGGACATAAACTGACTTTCCAACTTCCTCTAAATTTCGTTTGGAGACGATAGATGCATGACGTGATACATAACCTCGTCCGTCAAGCATAATCGTATGGTTCCTACCGCTCGTTGTTGCAATTCTTCCCAATCTTCCTCCTCCATCGACGCCGGCTTTGTAGGTCGCAAAGCCTTCAGGATCCCCTGCTGCGCCAACAGATCCTTCACCCTCGTTTGCCATAATCGAAAGTTACCCAGACCATCGAATTTCGCAACTTCGAATTTTGCTCCTAACATCTGATACCAATTGTTGATAAATCGGGCAATGTAAATGAAAGAACACAAGAATTTTAACGAGGTTCGGCAATGTGCTTACGTCCTCGGTGTCTAGGCGTTCGCTTCGCTCACTCCGCTCCATCCCCTGTCCTCTTTACCGGTATATTTATGAGACATACCTTACAAATATCTTGAAGCTTAAAGAAACAAGATTTTCGGTGACTCTGTATTGACTGTACAAGAGTTGTGAATTCCTGATTCATGAATTGCCTTGATTTTGTTTAATGGAAAATATCCGATGGACCTAGACTAACCCCCCTTCGATTCGATTCCAGTTTAGAAAACAGAGGATCTTCAATCTTCTTCTCCAAGATGCTCTGTTTTGGCTCCATGAATTTGGCAGGCACTATTCTTCCTCTCATCGCGCACTTCGTGCATTGTATTCAGTTTTTTCGAGTCGAACAGTTGCGAGTTTCGATGACAAACGACACACCTCCTTCTCTATCTCTTCAATCTCCATATCAATTTTTTGTTGAAAATTTAAAAGCATATGGGCAGCTTGAAATTAACAGTCGGCTGCTTAAATGAAAAAAATGGGATTTTTGAATTTTTTTATTATTTTATAATAGAATAATTATAAAATTGAGTCATTAAATTTTAAGGTATTTTTAAAGATTAGTCTCTAAGCTTCAACTATAAATACCCTAACTCATTTAACTTCAATATCATCCAAAATTATTTTTTTCTCCCAATATTATAGAGTTTCATTGTGATTAGTGAGTGTTTTGTAAACACTTGTAAATTTTATCTCTTAGTAAAAGATCTTCAGCAGTCTGGAGACGTAGGCATAATTGGCTGAATTCTGTTATCAATTTCAGGTATTATTTTTCAATTTTTATTTCGCAATCTCACTAATTTGGTTATAGGGAAATTACTTGTTATCGTTTATTTCCCAAAAACTGGTAACCAGAGCTTTTGGTTGTGAATTTTGTCAATTTTTTGTGAGGTTACTATTCATTACTATTCATGTGAATAGAGAATTTCATGAATAGTAAAAAATTTTGTCGGCGATACGAATTTATCGACGAAGGTGTTCTAATACACGGTGGTTCGCAAGAATTGTCAGAAACGATCCAAACGAAGCCAGATTTGAGTGGGAGCGATGGTTGCAGACGAAGGGAATGTGAAAATTGAGAAGTTCGATGGTGAGACTTTGGCTTTTGGAAGATGCAGATTGAGGATTTTCTATACCAGAAAAATCTATATCAACCTCTCTCAGGAAAGCAACCAGAGGGCATGAAGAATGAAGACTAGGCTCTTCTCGACAGACAAGCCCTCGGAGTTATCCGACTGACGTTATCCCGCAATGTTGCTTTCAACATAGCAAAGGAAAAGACCACGGCGGGTCTTATGGTGGCTCTCTTCAGTATGTATGAGAAGCCATCAGCCTCAAACAAAGTTCATTTGATGAGGCGATTATTCAATTTGCGGATGGCGGAAGGGGCATCAGTGGCTCAACACCTAAATGAACTCAACACAATCACAACCCAGTTGAGTTCCGTGGAAATTGAATTCGATGATAAAGTTCGAGCTTTAATTCTCTTATCATATCTACCAGACAGTTGGAATGTTACTGTTACAGTAGTTAGCAGCTCGTCGGGAAATAGTAAATTGAAATTCGACGATGTTCAGGATCTGGTACTGAGTGAAGAAATTCGACGGAGAGAATCAAGTGAAGCATCAACCTCCTCAGCCTTGCACACGGAGTCCAGAGGGAGAACTTCAGAAAGAAATTCAAATCGTGGCAGATCGAAATCTATAAGTGGAAAATCAAGAACGGGAAAGAAAGATTTTACCTGTTATAATTGTGGCAAGAATGATCACTTTAAAAGAGATTGCCGAGCACTGAAGAAAGATACCGACGCACAGGAATCTGTTAACGTGACAGAGGAGACATGTGATGCCATGATTCTAAGCGTCAACAGTCTGATTGAATCATGGATCTTGGATTCAGGGGCATCTTTTCACTCCACCCCATGCCAAGAAATCATGGAGAATTATATCAGTGGTGATTTTTGAAAGGTTCATCTAGCTGATGATGAAACCTTGAAGATCGTCAGAAAAGGAGATATCCGATTAAAGTTTCCAAACTAGACCACCTGGACGCTGAAAAGAGTGAGACATATTCCTGGCCTCAAAAGAAATTTGATTTCTGTAGAACAGCTTGATGGAGAATGATATAGTACAACCTTTTCAGGTTGTGAATAGAAGATTACCAAAGGAGCACTCGTCATTTGCTCGTGGTAAGAAGACTGGTACTATCTATATAACCTCAAATTTAGAGAATATCATTGCAGTAGCAGATGCTGATGGAAAATCAAACCTATGGCACCAAAGGCTTGGCCATATGAGCGAGAAAAGGGATGAAGATGCTTTTGTCAAAAGGGAAGCTGCCGGATCTAAAGAATGTAGATGTCGGACTATGTGAAGATTACATCTTTGGCAAACAAAAGAAAGTTAGTTTTGCAAAGATTGGCAAGACACCCAAGGCAGAAAAGTTAGAGTTGGTTCATACTGATGTATGGGGACCATCTCCAGTTCCATCTCTTGCAGGCTCATTATATTATGTCACCTTCATCGATGATTCAACAAGGAATGTGTGAGTTTATTTTCTGAAGAAGAAATCAGAAGTCTTTTATACCTTCAGAAAATGGAAGGTCATGGTGGAAAATAAGATTGGTCTGAAAGTCAAGCGGTTGAGGTCTGACAATGGAGGAGAGTACAGAAACAGTAGATTCAGAGATTTATGTGCAAATAATGGGATCAAGATAGAGACAACAGTTCCCATGATACCGCAGCAGAATGGCGTAGTAGAGTACATGAACAGAACTCTGAAATAACATGCCAGAAGCATGAGGATACATGCCAGATTGCCCAAATTGCTATGGGTTGAAGCTATAAACACTGCAGCTTACCTGATCAACAGTGGGCCCTCAATTCCCTTGGATGGTGGAATACCAGAGGAAGCTTGGAGCAAGAAATAAATAAACCTTTAACACTTAAGAGTGTTTGGTTGTATTTCTTATGTATACATAAATTCTACTGAAAGAAGTAAACTTGATGCTAAGTCCAACAAATGCGTCTTTGTTAGTTATGGTGGTGATGAGTTCGGTTACCGGTTATGGGACTACGAAAATCGAAAGATCATCAGAAGCAGAGATGTCATTTTCAATGAAAATGTGATGTACAAAGACAGGTCAACCATATAATCAAGTAGCTCCAATACCGAAGCTGAAACAAAGGAATTTACTGAGTTCGAGGAGATATCTGGAAATGATGTTCAGATCAGTCCTGAAGCAGTTCAAGAAGAATCATGCACACCAGAACTGAAACGCTCCTCCAAAATTCCTAAACCAACCCAGCGTTATTCGCCTTCTTTACACTACTTGTTGATGACTGACAATGGTGAACCAGAGTGCTATGATGAAGCAATGCAGGTGGAGGATTCAGTCAAGTGGGAGTCTTCCATGAAAGATGAGATGGACTCGCTTATGTCAAATCAGATATGAGAATTAGCTGAATTACCACCAGGCAAGAAGTGCTCCATAACAAGTGAATTTACAGGATCAAAGAAGAGCACGATGGGAGCAAACACTACAAAGCAAGATTGGTTGTCAAAGGTTTTCAGCAAAAAGAAGTTGCAGAGAATCTACATCTTGAGCAGTTAGATGTGAAGACAGTTTTCCTTCATGGTGATTTGGAGGAGGAAATCTATATGAGGAAGCCAGAAGGCTTAATAAAGGCATACAAGAAAAACCTGGTATGCAGGTTGAAGAAGAGCTTGTATGGTTTAAAACAAGCTCCTAGACAGTGGTACAAGAAGTACGATAGCTTCATGAGTAGCAGTGGTTTTACTAGATGCCAAGCAGATCATTGTTGCTACATCGAGAGGTTCGACAACAACTTCATTATTTTATTATTGTATGTTGATGACATTCTCATTGCAGACTCAGACATGCAAGAGATTATAAACTTGAAGCAAAAATTGTCGAAGCAGTTTGCAATGAAAGATCTGGGAGCTGCAAAGCAGATTCTTGGGATGAGGATCAAGGGAGACACAAAGTCGGGGACTTTGATGTTATCACAGGCTGAGTACATCAACAAAGTACTCTCCAGGTTCAACATGCAAGATGTTAAACCAGTAATTACACCCTTAGGTGTTCATTTTAGACTCTCCAAAGAACATTCACCAAAAATGGAGGAATAACGTGCACACATGGTGAATGTGCCATATGCCTCAACAATTGGAAGTCTAATGTATCCCATGGTTTGTACTAGACCAGATATTGCTCATGCAGTGGGAGTTGTTAGCAGGTACATGAATAATCCAGACAAGGTACACTGGGAAGCAGTCAAATAGATCCTCAGATATCTGCGGGGTACCATAAACAAAACACTTTGTTTCAAAGGTAGAGATACGATACTGACAAGCTATGTAGATGCTGACTTAGCCAAAAATGTTGACATCAGAAGGAGCACTGCAGGGTATGTCTATACTCTAGGAGGAACCGCAGTGAGTTGGGTTTCTCAACTACAGAAGATAGTTGCTCTCTCTACAACTGAAGCAGAATATGTCGATGTTACGGAAGTCAACAAGGAGATGGTCTGGCTCCAAAGTTTCTTGGAAGAGTTAGGCAAGAAACAAGAGAACAATGTTTTGTATTGCGACATTCAAAGTGATATACATCTAGCAAAGAATCCGTCTTTTCATTCCAGGACGAAGCACATACAATTGAGATATCATTTTATCCGGTCTCTTCTGGAAGATGAGATTTTGAAACTTGAAAAGATTAGTGGAGCTCAAAATCCGGCATACATATTGACAAAGACGGTGACTACGGACAAACTGATGTTGTGTTCAACTTCAGTTGGCATGCTAGAATAAAAGACCAGAAATGTTGTTGCATTGATCAAGGTGTGAAGACAAATTAAAATTGGTCTTCAAGTGGGAGATTGTTGAAAATTTAAAAGCACATGGACTGTTTGAAATTAGCAGTCGACTGCTTGAAAAGATGGGGCTGCTGAATTTTTTATTATTTTGTAATAGGGATAATTACAAAATTCAGTCATTGAACTTTAGGGTATTTTCAAAGATTAGTCCCTAAGCTTCAACTATAAATACCCTAGCTCATTTAGCTTCAATATCATCCAAAATCATTTCTTTCTCCCAATACTAGAGAGCTTCCTTGTGAGTAGTGAGTGTTTTGTAAACACCTTTAAATTTTCTCTCTAAGTAAAAGATCTACAGCAGTCCAGAGACGTAGGCATAATTGGCTGAACTCCGTTATCAATTTCGGGTATTATTTTTCCGCTTTTATTTCGCATTCTCACTAATCTGGTTATAGGGAAATTACTTGTTATC